ACAACGACAAAAACAACAGCAACAAGAAAAACAAGAAGATGCACTCACTGATGTTTGTAAGAAAAAACCCACAAAAAAACCGAACCTCAAAAAACAAAACAAAATTAAAAACAAAAAAAAAAGAAAGAAAAAAAAAAAAGAAACAACAACAACAAAAACAAAAAAACAAACAAATCTGTAAACACAGACCCAGGAAGACTCCCCCCAACTCACATCCGCACGAGGTGTATCAGGACCAGCACCAGCGCTACCACAATCACCACTAGGGAGACAACCACGATCGCCAGGATTCTCTTCAGTTCTTCCTCAAGGTTTTCCGGCTCGCGCTCTATCAGATCCTGGAGGGGACAGCGAGAAACATCAGTGAATGGTGGCGGGGACATTACAGGGACAACGATAAACATCAGTGAATGGTGGCGGGGACATTACAGGGACAACGATAAACATCAGTGAATGGTGGCGGGGACATTACATGGACAACGAGAAACATCAGTGAATGGTGACGGGGACAACGAGAAACATCAGTGAATGGTGGCGGGGACATTACAGGGACAGCGAGAAACATCAGTGAATCAGTGAATCAGTGAAATTACAGGGAACACCCCCTTAAAAAACACACACAAAAAAACAAACAAACAGAAGAAAAAGAAAACAAGAAAAAACAAAGAAAAGATGAAACTAAAGCGAGTCAATGGCGACATAAACCACATACAATCAATCCCAGTCTTTGAGAAGAAGGTACCATACCTTTGTTTCAATGACGCTATTACGGAACAGCACTGCTTGAGCTGCTTGGTTAAAATCGAAAGACCTGTGAGAAAAACAAACAAAAAAACATTACAAAAAAAGCAGAATATTACCACCACGCTCCTGACGAACAAATGGAAGGTGGAAAGTAAAAATCATTTTGTAAATAAATATTAAACCATTATCATAATTAACAGTAAATCCTTCTCCCAAAGCCTCTCATTGAGAGGTCCCAGGTTCACTTTCTGCCCCCCCCCTCACCTCCTTTTCCCCCTCCTCTGGGCTCCTGACTCTTTCTGCAGCCTTTCTCATGCTACTCCTTAGCTCTTTCTTACTGCTGTCTTTCAGCCACACCCCGATCTTCTGGTAGGAAAGATCTACACCTAGCCTTCTCAGACAAGGGAGAAAAAATATCGGAGGTCCCGTGTGCAAGTCGCGCATGTTAAAGATCCCTTGGTGGTCTAAAATCGATAAGAGTAGACTTCGGCCGCCACCCGGGCAAAATTCAAAATTTCCTACCTACTGAAAATGTTTGGTGTGTCCATTGCACTCATATGACCTAATGCTGTTGCGAGCG